TAATAAAGTATTCTCTAAATAATGAAAAAAATAATAAGATAAGACTATAAGAGCAAGAAGCAATTTAAATATGTTCGGGGACCATTTTCATCTCCAGAATTAAGGATTATTTTAATGTTACATCATCGCCTTTTCTCTTTTACTTTCCTTTTTAGTTTTATTTTAGGGTTCCCTGTTTTTAATGTTCATACAGAGATTTCTTTAACTGAAATACCAAATAGTTTCTTTGGTGCAAAAACTATAATAGTACACAGGATCCTAATGAGATGATTAATAATGTGAAATAGGAAGTAAAGGGCTAAAGGTGTAGGGAAAGTGGGAAGGGTGGGGGAAAGGTAATAAGGGAGAGGAAAAAAATATGAGAAACTGAAAAAATGGAAACAAAGTGTTGGTAAATGGGGAGGGTGGGGGGGTGAAGGAAGGGCAGGGACAAGGGGAAAAAATGAGGATCAAGACCTATTATGTAAAGGTACAGAATCCCAATGATAAATGTAACTGTATTGTATACCTAGATTGTACCAATAAACTTAATTTAAAAAAATATGAATTTCACTTGAAATACATAGTTACTGTAAAATATCTATCCTTTTATATTGTCAATCTGAAATTAGATTAACTTGTATTATCATTATCACTACATGAATTCACTACATGAATTAAGCATCAGCACCATCTAAGGCAGTTTTGAACATAACTATTACAAGAAATTTGTAGTGTACTTTTCTCCTAGTAAAAGACAATAAGGAAAATGTTCAAATAGAAAAATATACACTCAGAGGCCAGGATAAAGAATGTGGACAAAAGCACTTACTTGTACTTTGATCTCCCTGTTGTCCATACTTTAGATAAAATACTTGCTCCCTTTTGGACCTAGGAAATGTAAACAAGTCTCCATATAAGGAAAAAGTCATTTAACTTTGAAAGCATGACAAACTCATCAGTTCAGACTTGTGATAAGTTCATGAGTTGTCCCAAGGCTCTAGCATTCCAACTCTGTTCCTGAATTGCTATCTTGTAAAACAGAAATACTCTGATAGCAAAGATTATTCTGACCGGTGGATCAAGAGGAAGAAAACGGACATTATGAACAAAGGAACAGCACTTAACTGAAGATAGGAAGAGTTTGAAGTATCATTTGGTGAGGAAAGATAAAATTCTTTTTTCTTGGTCTTGGTCTAAAAGAATTTTAAAGTTATTTCTACTTATAACAGATATATTGGGCAATTTGCAGGTCACCTACTTCCCTCTGTTACAGAACTTTTAAAAGATTTTAATGACTCTATCAACAGTCTCAATGGAAGCATGACTTAAACTTCCTCACAATTTATAGAAATATATGTATAAATCCATCAATCAAATGCGGTGGCACATGCCTGTAATCCCAGCACTCTCCTGGGAGGCTGAGACAAGACTGCCAAAAGTTCAAGGACAGCCAGGGCCACATAGTGAGTTCAAGACAAGCCTGAACTACACACTGAGACCCTGTCTCATAAAAAGAAATGAAAAGAGAAGAAATATATGTGTAAATCCATCAACAGAGATTTAATCTCTAGAGGACTCAGAGAGAGGGCTAGGAAGAAAGGACTTTGATTCTAAAATTCGTCTCTTCAAAAACAGGAGCATACTGTGCAAACTTTAAAAGTTTTTTCTAAAGCATCATCGATTTTATAGGCCAATGCTGTAAACAATCTCTGGAATAAAGGAACTGTGCGGCAAAGTTTCAACGACATAATACGGCATATATGAAGGTACAGATTATTTGACTGAAAGTGGTCGCCGATAAAGGATGTCCAATAGTTTGGAAGTTTTCATCACAATGTTTTCCTAGCTGTTTGTTGTTCTCCTGACTTTGCAATTCTTGTGCATATGCTTTTCTTCTTCCTATTTCCTAGCTGTATCCGAACACCTTTGCCTCATTACAAACCACCCTGTTAGAGAAAAGCTTAAAAAAATGAATAAATAAAGGCAGCCCACAGGTAGCTCACGGCCGTCCTTTCTAGCAAAGTATTATTAGCATTTTCAAGTTAGTTTCTGGTATTCCAGAGATTGGAAATATTCCTCAAAATTCCAGATTCCCAGTTTCTCCTGAAAGAGCAGAGCACCTGGCAATACAGGGTCCCCTTTCACGCACAGCGCATCCCAGGGACCCAGGCAACCTCCCCGTGCCTGGATGCGGGTCTCCAGCTCACCAGAGTCCAGGCCGCACCGCACTACCCTGCCCCCAGCAGGGCTTACAGTGCAGGCTCCAAGTGCACTGCCTTCTTGCAGTTTTTACTTATTTGGTTTTCCTTAGAAGAACAAGAAAGTCACTTCTTTCTTGTGCAAAGGGTAGAGGTCAATGAAAGAAGCAGCAAACAAGTCCAGCGCTGGGGTGGGCATATTTCTTTGGAAATGAAGACTACTTTCCAAAGTTTAACACAAGCAAAGGCAGTCTACGTTGAAAGAACCACTCAAGCACAGTCATAAGCATGCGTGGAAAAGAACATGAAAAAATGTAATGAACAACCGATTCTTTCAGAAATGTAATGATACCGTGAGGTGTGTACCCTGTGATCCCAGCACTTGCGGGGCCACGGCAGAAGGGTCACAGCAAGTTCAAGGGCAGCATGGGTTACATAATGAGGTCAAGGCCAGCCTGAACTGCACAGCAAAACCCTGTCTCAAAAATAAAAGCAATTAGATACTAAATGGGAAGATTACTTTCCTACTTCTAACACACTGCAGTTTTCTGTGACCTGACCCTGTGTGTCTGAGTTTGTCTCCCGATTTAGAAGCGCACCCACCCCAACTCACCCAGTCATCTACCCCTGCCCTACTTCTAAGCCCTGGGGCAGTAAACACCAGTCTGTTCAGACCAGCAGTGATTCTCCACCTTCCTCCCCTTCCTGCTCTGAGACATAGTCTGCTGAGATAAGGGCAGCCACTATAAAAATTCCCGTGAACTCTCCAGCTCCGTGCTCTTCCCTCTTACACTGGTCCTCTCCCTGTAGTCCCATAGTGTGACCAAGGGCCCATATTAAGGGTTGAGGCCTTGCTTTGACTCTTTCTGTGCATTTCACAAGGTCATAGGCCTTTGGTTACAGCTGGGAACACTCAAGGCCGATCTGCATCCTCCCAGACTGACTGCTGTGGGAAGGGAAGGGGCAGAGGGCCTGCTCAAGATCACGACCAAACCTAATAGGGGCTGCTACTGTCCCTGCAAGCACAAGATGGTTAGCAGCTACAGGGCACTGCCAGAGTTCCCACGGTGCAAATTTTAGGGGGAAGGAGAGGGTGACCAGGATCAGTAACCTGAGTCCGGTCTGCATCCGCAGAGATTGTCTTCAGTGTATGTTTGCTGCACACAGAATGTGGCTCTATTCTCTCTGGAGTATCAAGACTTCCTGTCATTAACTAGCTTCAAGCTCTAGTAATACTGCCACCTTGACCTGCAGTTCACAAAGTGCTCCACATGATCCTGCCCATTTGACTCAGACAGGGAAGTCGCAAGGTTTGTAGGGTTTTTTATAGCTCCTCTCCAATTTATAGAAGAGAAAATAAAACCTGGAGCTCCATGTGACTTATTCAAAGTCAAAGAATAAGCACTGGGCCCGAGCTTTACTGCATTTTTATCCAGGCCACTGTAACCTACAATATGAATTGTGAAACTGTAGCCCCTTATAAAATGAAACACATTATCCAAAACAGATGTTCTGTAACAAAAGCAATATTAAATAACTGGAGAACACAATTCAGTAAAAAGAAACTAAGATTTTAAAAATATTTTTATATAGAAATATTTTACAAAGATTTTACAACGTAGAAACTCATTACATCATACTGTAGAAAGATGAATAGAAAGAATAAACCTCAAGGATAAAGAAAGTGCACATAACAATGTATTGCAGTCTCCATGAAAGTGCTTGAAAGGTTAAGGCAAGGTACTTTGCTGCTACGGGCATGTTGTGAGCAGACTTGTAAAACAGTTTTTTAAAACAGGTCCAAAGTCTTTTGGTCTATTCTTTTCAATGAGATTTAAAAGGGAAACTCTTCCACAATCCCTGCTCTAGAACAATGGAAAGATAACATCTGGGCATAAAACAGTAAAAGCAAAAACGTTCTACCCGAGTGTGTTAAAAGTAATTCAAATGATTTCTAGAACAAAACCTTCCCAAGCGCTGGCTACCTTTGTAATGTGCCAGGTTGAAGACCCACTCTCTCGTAGTCTGAGAGACAGCAAGGAACGACTGTGGTGTGGCTAAATCAGGATCTCACTCACGCGTGTAAGCTTGCAGCCTCCAGTTTCTACGGCCAAACTACTTACATGAAACCCCCCCCACATTCACTGCTTTAGAAATCTGCTTCAGAGCTTTGCTTCTGCTGGTAGCTTACATGATAGCCATTTTATGAAGAGCTACATATGTATAATACAGTATTTTGTTTATTTGATAATAAAAATACAAAAGTGCTCTCTAAAGTTAAACCATAAATGTTATCAGAGAATTCTAACTAAGCATTTCATTTTTCTATATGTCAAATCACTTAAGACCAATAGGATCAATAAGGATAATACTGGTTATCAAACAGTAATCTTCATACTTGGAGAACTTGTTTTTTTATAATTGATATTTAAAACATCAAAACAAGTAAATTAGCCAGGTTTGAACAAGAGTGAGCTTTAGGGAAAAGTGACTTAGCCAAATTCTAGTACAGATAAAATATCTGCCAAACAATAACATTAACCACTGTTTAATGGAAAACTTCATCCACTCCAAAGAACAGGAAAATTCACTGATGGTCTCCCTATACTTAAACATTTGCTTTTTTTTTTCCATACCTAAAGTAAGAGAAATTAACCAGCTCATGTTTGCTGATTTAGATTTCCTTAAATAGCTCTTAGCCCCTCAAGGCATAGCTGTGGAAAAACCAGAGAGAAACACCCAGGCATTTACTGAATCTTGAAGTACAAAATAAGCACATGTGCTCGATATAATCTGGTAACAGGGAAGCAACAGTTAAACTGTCTTACACATCAGATGTATTGGTTTGATTTTCATTTGAAACTTCTTTTTCCTGAGAACCACAAACAAAGACCTGGCTGCCTAGAGTTTTGTGGGCAAATCGGAAATACATAGTGTGGCCCATCGCCACAAAGGAGACTGAAATCAGGACGAGCAAGCCAAAAGCTTCAGGGTTCGGAGCCAGGAGGACCATGAGGAAGTGCAGAAGGTCGAGAAGGTAGTTCATGGAGTTCTGTACACCGTTCACAATGCCTCTCTCAGACTCAATCACGTTCTCTTGCAGCAACTGTGTCACACTTAAATCAAAGGCCCAAAGACCTATATGACGAAACATATTTTGGTAAAGGCTGAATTTAATTTAGAGTCATACATTTCAGACTTACAGACAAAATCTGCTGACTTATGCAAGATACACATTTAGCCCTATAGCCTTTCAGTTACCTTATAAAGTACTAATCACAGCTTTACCTTAAAGAACTTCTTTTCATTAATACTGAGTTATTCATGACTTTTAAGAAATGATTCTTTACAGACACAGACTGAAACAAATCTAATCTATAAGCTTCTTAGTTCTATTTTTCTGACTACTCATACTACAAAAGTAGACCTCTGAAATCAGGAATATAAATCCCATAAATACTAATACTTTTAAAGTTTAAAATGACCTAATACATTCCTGCAGTTAAGGAAACTTTAAACCATTGTTACATTTATCGCTTGGGTTCTACAGCCCTTACAATAAATCTGTCCTGCTTGAATATTAATGTCTTTGATAAATTAATGAACTGCTTCTTAATCACAAGATAAAAAAGTTTCATTTTAAGAACACATTCAGTCAGATATTCATCAGTACTCCATTAATGATTACATAAATTTTGCTTTTAAGAAATCTTTATATTACATTGCTTCCAGAGCTATAAAATCCATTTGTATAGCAAAGTATATAATAAGTACACATCAGCTAGAGAGGACTTTTGAAGGATTTTTTTTAAATAACTGACATTGTCTTTGAAAAGACATTACCTTCTTTATGTCATCTCATACAAGTATCTATATAGATTTTTGGCAGTTATAGCAGTATAAAACCTCTACACTATTGGATGGCAGTATAATTATTATAGCTAATATATTTCTATTTATTTATTTTTTATTTTATTTTATTTTATTTTTTTGGTACCAGGGATTGAACTCAGGACCTTGTGCTTGCCAGGCAGGCACCCACACCACTGAGCTAAAGCCCCAGACCTTAATATATTTTAAAAATAAATTTACATTTAAAAAAAAGTAATAGTTAAAGGCTAGAGGTGTAGCTCAGTGATAAAGAGTGCTTGCCTAACATCTTTAAAGCCCCAGATTTACCATATATAATGGCTGGGTTGCCCAGCACCATTTATATTTTAAAAATCTCATGTTTCAAGACAGGATTCTATGCATAAATAATGGGTTTTGCTTAAATTAAGATCCAAGAAATATTTCAGATCATTTCTTGATGAATTTTCTGTACCGACTTTCCCCAAAGACTCTAATTCATTAACATAAAAAAGACATTTCTTACCGACTCTAGCAGCAATGACGCCTGCAAAGAGCAGGCTGACGGAGATTATGGGCACGGGCTTGGTGCTCATCTCCAGGATCGCATCACCAGTACGAGACCCGTTGGACATGTGGTGCGTTTCAGTGGTGAAGGTGGTTTCAGGTATTCTGGTGGTTGTGGACACTGGTTCTCCTTGGAAGAACCTGGAACGAGTATCTTCAAAAGGAGAAACAGACAAGTCCAAGGGACTTCCAGGCATGAATACAGAGATTACACACAAGATCAAACAGGAGAGCTGGGCCCATCCTGAGATCAGACCAGTCCGAACCAGCCCATACTTTCGACGCAGCCAGGTAAAAGCCACAGTCCCCATTATTCCGGTGATAGCTGATGCGCCCATCAAGATGCTGAGGATGGAACCGCTCAGCCCCTGAGTATAGGCGTAGCCTGTGGTAATGCAGTCAAAGCCCAGGACAGTCATATAAAGGAAGGCAAGACCCATGCCAGCCAGGAACACTGGCTGGTTGTAGTAGGAGACCCATCCGTCTCGGAAGGTGCGGAAGGGCTCTGCCATCTGGGAAGAGCAGCTGGGCTCTTGCTTGTGTTCAAGTTCACGGATGTTGGGTTCTTTCTCACCCATGAGATGAGTTCCCTCCAGGGGTTTTGGCTCAGTATCTATTAATAAAAGATATAGTGTGCGGGTAAGGTATGGGGAGAAAAACCACTTTACACTTTACCATTTTTTCATCTCCTATTCCCCTTCTCTATAGGTACTCTTGGTTAATAATTACTGAATTCTCTAAGAAATCCAGCCACAGAGCAATTTCCAAGTACCACTTTGGTTAAACAAAATAATATTGATCATTTTTTCTCCTAGAAATTATGCTTGCACTAAAGTAAATAGCAGGAGAACTCATCACATATGATATATAAATTATCTGGGATAATGAAGAACCTTATCAAGATCTGTTAAGATCCCATTTACCAGAAACCAAACTTCCTCTTCTGTTGGGAAATGCTCTTCCTAATGTTTTCACCCCCTTCCACTGTCTTACAAATGGCCACGTGTACTCCCTTCTTTAGATACTGCAAAGAATTCTCTTACCTTATTTTTCTCCCACTATCTCACCATTTTCATGGTTCATTCTGTCCAGCCAGAGCACAGCTAGCTGCCTCTCTGTGCCTACTGCTCATATCAAGAAAAAGAGCCAGGGATCCCATTCCAGCTCCTTCAAATTCAACCCAGAAGTGTTTCCTAGACCTCAAAGTCTGGTCTTGCCTCATCTACCAAAATGATATATTTAACCTCACCCAGTTCTTCAATGAAAATAAAACCTTATACAAATCCAACAAAGTTTTAGTCCTCAGCAACATTTAAAATCTGAACCTGAAGGGCTTGTTACTGGGCTCGGTTACCTTTGTGTACATTCAGCTGTTTCATTTCAGCTTCTTCTCCTTTAAAAGCAGCTTTCACAGCCAGGGCAGGGGTTTTCTGGTAGACCTTCCAGAGCAGAAAGTACTCCACACACATGGACACCAAATTCCATCCCGAGATGAAGCCGCAGCCAATGACTGGGGACCCAAATGTCATAATCTGACCCACAGCCATGGGGGCCAAGATGTTGGTTAGCTGGTCAATCCTTCGTATGGTAGCATTCATATCTACAGGGGTCGGTGGAAGAGGCAGGTAAGAGGTCAAGCCCATCAAAGAGAGACTGCCATATGCATAATTCAGAGGGATGAGCCAAAAGCACACACTGCTAACATCTGGATTTCCAAGAGCACTTTGAATAAAGCATGGGCTAGAAGAACATTTATTGTTTGGGGAACAAAATTTCCTCCAAAGTTGTGTTTCCTTTGGAATTTTAGAAATTAGTCTAACATCAACGTTTTAAATGAACATTAGTGACCTGTTTCATTTCTATCAATACGTATTAAGTTAGACACTATTCTCCACACTGTAAACATAACTGTGACGTATGTCACCCCTCACACAAAGGCAGCTGCCATCAATCTTACACGTGACTGTCTCAGCGGAGCCTTCACCAGCATGACTCTGGTCCCCACTAGCAAGTTTCCGCAGCATAGCCTACAGAGGACGGTGGAGTCCATCCAAATAGGTCAATAATTTGAATAAAAAGTAACAAAAGAAGACTTAAGCCTTAAAGCCCCAGAACAACAACAAAAATTATTTTAAACTTGTTATTACTCTCCATTTTCAAGGACTCATGGAGCTTTCCAAAGTCACTAATTTCTATCTTTTACATGATAGGACGTTAGTAATGTTTAGGTGTCGGTACAAGTGCAGTGTCAGAAATAGTTTTTATTTTTCTGAAGCAGAACAAATTAAATTCTTTGAATAAAAAGACCTAATCATTTTCTTGGTAACATCCTGGAATAGAATCCATCTTCTGGGTTGGGGTGAATCATGGTAATACAACGTGTGCTTAGCATATACAAGGCCCTGGGTTCAACCTCCAGTGCATGCACACACATATAATCAGACTTCTGCATAGGCAACCTTTCTCTTTATAAATTTACACTTATTCTCATATAAACATAAATATAGGCTCATTTGGTTCTGATTGAACTGTTGTGGCTACAACTATAACAAGACAGATCATGACACAAATAGTGAACTTTATTGTAAAGGGTATATTATGTCTCATAGAAGAATCTTTCAAGGATGTGATGAGGAAATTGTAGCAAACAGGTCTGTCTGCCTCAAACATGAAATTGGTTTTAATCCACAGAATCCAGACATGAAATCTACTGCTATACCTGATCAAAGCTAATAAGCAGATTTTGCTTTAGAAATGTCTGGATCCATGCAACGGACTGAGTAAAGTCTGGGAGAGGAATGAATTTCAAGCAGGCTAAGTAGACAACATGGTAAAAGCAAATGTTTTAATAAAATACTAAATCAAATACCTGGAAAGCACTTAACATATAATGGATTAGTTAACAGTATATATGTAAAAAAAAAATGCCTTTCTCACAGCATTCTAAACTAGAGGGTAAAAGCTGTATTTTGCCCTGAGACTCTAACACTGCCAGGGAAAATTTCTCCTGTTCTTTACCCTCAGTAATAGAGCTTCAAACATTAAGACTAACTTTGAAATCAAGAAATGAAGGGATAAGAAAATGGGAGGAATTAGCATCCAGTCTTTGTTCTTTATTTTCACACCCTTTCAACCTACACACGCAGCCAGTATACACAGGTGAAGCCCTCACCACCCAGTCCTCCATCTGGGTTTCCAACTCATTGCCAGCAACCTTAAAACCAGCCTGGATATACACACTTTACCCCAGCTGGAGGAGGCGTGTCTGTGGAGAGAGTCAGTCTTCAGGAATCCACAGGAACCCAAGACTATTTTTTTGCTTTCTCTCTTTTATTTCGCCTTTATCTGCCTTCTCTCTCTTTCTCTCTCTGTGTTCTCCTTAAACAACCTCTTAGCAGAAATGACAGCAAATTTCATAGTTAGACATTTGCTGACTCTCGACTCTCAGAACTAAAAAAAGTTTCTGTATTGTTTCACAACATAGTGTTTAATAAGCACAAATGCCGAGGCTAAATTTTCAGGAAAGAAAACACATATGTGTTTATTCACTGGTCTCCTAACCAGTGTTGTTGCTGGATATGGAAACACACTGCCTATGAAAAGTTAACTTAGAGTGGATGAGAGTTCAACAGACAGCTCACTTGCTTTTTTAAACTTGAGAAACTCCCAAAGGTCAGAAAATAGACTGCTTGGCTTAACGTTCCACTCTGCAATAATTCATAATATAAACAGGGACAGCTGAGAAATGACCAGTCATAGTTTTGTTGTTCTGGGATATCAGTTCATACTCAGAAAGAAAAGATCTTTGAATTTTTTATTTGTGTATGGGTAGTAGGACCAGTTACAATTTTTAAGGAACTTTCACTTTAACAAAGCTATTTTACAGAGTACAAGTAGATTTTTAAATAGACTTTAGAGTTTCAAAATGAGTTAAGAAATCCAAATAAAAGAACAAAAGCAACTTTTCTCCAAATATATTCTACCAAATATACATATGTGATCTATTTTCAAAATATATCCTCTTGTACCCTTTGAATTTGAAAAGGACATATCCTTACATGCTTAAAATAATGTTAAAAAAGAAAGTAAACAAACCAAAAAGGAAGAAGCCTTAACTTCTCTTCAGGGTAACAAAAAGAGATGCAGAACTATTTCTTACTACACTCACAGGAAGAAGTATCAACGAGAATGTCCTGGGTACAGAATGAAACCCTACACATATATTCTGCTCTGAAGTCAGTGTGGTATTTCTACCTGGATTACAATGCTGCTACCACATGTGATGATTCGAGCAAGTACTTCTTCCAGACCTTCCACAGACTTTGTTCTCCTTCAATCGCCACTTCCTTTCTTTCTTTTCTTCTTTTTTAAACCCCAAAGTCTAGTCAAACAAAACTGCTGGCTAACTGCAGCATCTAATCGCGCCTTCTGTGGCCCAGATAAGTCACCAAGAATGGTGTGTGAATCCCTCTGGATGGCTGAACAATGTGTTTTGGATACTCGTGACCTTAATGACCAGTACAGTTCACTCAGCTGACCTGCCCAGTAGGCAGGTGGACCCTTCCTCCTCTACCCCAGGTAGATGTTAATGCAAATTCGTGTCTGCATGTCATATGGGGAGAAGGGATCCAGGCTACCGTGAACCACAGCAAGGTGATGTCACGGGACAAAGCTGCTTTGTCAGCATTCCTCACTCTTTCTTCAGCTGCTTGTGTAGGTTTCCAATGATTTGTACGCCTCTTAAAAACTGCACCCCGCCTCTCTTTTAAACTTTCTTACAATAGTTATATTACGTTCTGTATAATGTAATAAAAGTTATAAATGATAACTTTAAAGTAGGAGGAACAAAGTGCTAGGGTCTCTCCTACTATTATGTTGTTTCCATTGGTATGGAGAAGAATAATATCCAAAGTATGACACTTACGTATATTAAAAATATCCATGTAAAATATCATAACAGATATTATTATTAAATAATATTTAGTAACAGTTATTTATTATTTTTTATTGTATTTATTATTTTTACTATACTTATTATTAAATAAATATTTAGTAACAGCAGAATTTTTAGAAAGAAAAGGAAAGTTTTTAAAAGGCATGTTCTTCCACTTTCCTGGTGTGCATAGAGTAAAAGAGTACTTAACTATTCTATAAATTAATACCATAACAGAAATCTTAGCACTAAGACTGACAAAGTAAAAAAAAAAATTATGCTTTCAATTTACTGTTAAAACATACCCAGAACATGAAAAATTAAAAGGTTTTTTTCACCTCATTTATTGCCACTGGTTTAAATTAAATCTTAACATTAATTTAGCTGAAAAAAAAAACCAACTTACCTGCTAATTTGCTTCTGTCCTCTCCTGCAACGACAACGATCCAGTCCCTCTGGATGGTAATCGCCGTAGCAGTACTGGCTAAGTTTGCAATGTTTGCAATAGTGATGATCAGGATATAGCAGGAAGTCTAAAGAATTATGAGAAAAAATGAGTTAAAAACGTTAGTTTATCTTACTATACTTCACTATACAAGATAACTTAAAATGGCCTTTGGGACAAATAGTGTATTTTTAAAATTTTACTTCAAATATAAGAAATCATTTTAAATAAATAAATAAATTGTTTTTACTTTGTATACATGAAACAAGTACCAGTGGTCAAGTTAAAGGGTATGCTATTATCCTAATCTGCATATCTGTAGTAGATACAATGTGAAATTACAGCAATCACATGAACATGTACATGACATAGTTATGAGAAAATGGTACATGGTGGTGTTTTTAACATTTTCCCCACAAATATCTCCACCGACGAGATAATGAAGGGGATCTGAAAAGACCTGCATTTAAGTCAGAGTTCTGACCCTTTCTAGTTGCACAATAATGGATAATCAACAAGCCTCATTTTGTCTTAGATTTGCCATCAGCAATATGAAGGGACTAGACTTGAAGATTTCATAATGTCCTAGCTGGCTTTGAAACTCTGTAATATCAATCCCCAAAATATAAGAAGATTGAGCAGTTACACGAATTCATTATTCTCCAGTTGGGGATATAGGTGATTTCCCCAAACAGAAATAACAATGATTATTGGAGGAATACAACTATGACTGGATAATACATACACAGTATACGGACATTTCCTGTATAGTGAGAATAACTTACAGAATAAAAGAGAATAAACTGAAAACTAACAACTGAATTATATAATACTTTTTTAGAAATGTTATTAAAAAGCAGTAAGACAAAATTTAAAATCAAATAATACTAAGTGGATACCTATTACAGGCAAAACAATAACAAACTAGCAGGGGTATTACAATGGACACAGAAATCAATTACTGAAATGTCACATTTGCAAAAGAAAAAGACACTCTATAGCTTTAAAGGTTTTTCATCTTTACCTCTACCACAGAGTCAATTTTCTACCTTCAAGAATCTCACTGAATAAATGTGAGTCATTTGCAAGAAAATAAATGTACCTTGAGACCATAATCAAATACAAAAGGTTAAATACTGCTTGATTTATTTCATATGAGAAACCCAATGTATAAATAATTCAAAGAGAAAAATATCACACAGATAACAGGAAACAGAGAGATAGATCTTTTGTAGATGGGAAGAGGACCAAGTGATAAAGGGAAGGGCTAGGGAGAGGAGGGGAAGAGGAAGTCAAAAGAATTAAGATGTGTTATGTCCACATACCAACTACCCATGAGAAATGAGGTCATGTTCTGCAAACATGGACTAATGCAAATTTTAAAAAAGAATCCCACTGAACACTTACAAGGACCCATCCATGGTACATGGTCAGAAGCTCATTTTTATGTAAGAAAACCATCATCAGGATGATCCCACACAGGATGACTGAAACATTCTGTACCACCAGGGAAGTCTGGGCCACTGATAGAGGAAAAGCAAAGTTTTCACTACTTTTTATGCAAACATCATTATTCTACTACATTAATGCATATGCAAACCACAAAAAAGGAACCCTTCCCAAAGTAAATTTTGCCTCAACTATTCAGTATAACCAGCATATCATAGCAGACCAGTGAAATCTGTAAATAAAATAAAGTACATTTTTTTTTCTGCTGGTTGAAGTCTTTCAAAATAACATTTTCATTTAATTTATTCTCTTCAAGTATACTGTCAAAAACAGAACCATTATACAGATAAGATCAATCTCTCGGCTCTTTGTTTCTTAAGCTAAAACAAGAGCATGTAGGAGGTTATTGACATGTTAAGGAGGAAGTTAGGAATTCATAATCTCCTACATGGCATGCTTAACTTGATAAAATGCGATGGACAAATAGGAAAAGCATGCAAAGATTTCCCCAGAATAAAGCAGTATTGAATTTCTTTTCATATCTTAATGCTATTTGTCTTTACTAGGACATTCTAAGCTTCACCTTCTACCACACACACACACACACACACACACACACACACACACACACAAAGACCAACTTTCTAAAACTGAGGCATTCATACAGATCAAGCGCTAGAAGAAGGCTAGCTAAGGACCCTTGTAATCTTTTCTCTGTCACTCACTAGGCAGATGATGGAGGGAGAGACACTTAATGTCACATGCCTACGTCCAGAAGGCGAAGGAGAGGGTGGTAATGCTTCTCTTCTATACTTTATGGAGTCAGAATGATGTTCAAATAAAATATTCATGAAAACACCGTGACATATGTAACGTACAATTACAGCTCTTGTTATCCAGGATAGTAAAGCTCATCCCAGTTTAGAAGGTCATATGGAAGACCCAAAACAGAACAAAAGGATCTCTGAAAATAACATGAAGTGAAATATCAACATACAACTCACTCGTGCATTTACTGCACAAGGATTAAATACCAAATGAACAAAGTTCTTAGCTTTGATGATCTCACAGCCAGAAGAAAAGTCATGTGAACAGGTAATTCTAACCATGTAAGTACAAAAGCAGAGATGTCTCAACATAGTCTCCTTCCTCCAACTCAACCTTTGTTCCTCAACCTGTAACTGCAGCGTTCCACAATTGTAAGACGAAAGGGTTCTATGTGTACTATTCTTATTTTCCTATGCATAATGATGTAAAGAATGAGGATTCCCCCCCCCAGGATACAGAGCTTTTTCTATGTGTCTTCTAGTCTACCCATTCTCAAAGCAGAAGTATGTTCATCTTGACCATTTTACTAGTAGTGTTAAGTCCTACAAATTGAAAATCCCATTCCTGTGTATCTAGAAGCAGTCATCCTGAATTGAAAGAAATTAATGGTATCTCAATCTTTTCCTAACAGCTAAAACAGACATGGCTAGGAGCTATCAACTGAATAATTCAAGAAAATTGTACCCTGAATGATTATCCATATTGCTCTTATTTTCTAAATAACTGAATTGCTCAGATTACTTTCTCTGTTTCCTGTATGAAACAAAATGATTAAAGTCTTAATGTCTCTAATAACGTTAATATGTTATTTCTTCTTTTTCTCTAAAAGTTTAAAATTCACTTTTCTGTGATCCAGGCTCAGCTATCCTTCCTTGAGTCAATACCGAGTTTTCAATTCCCTCATACACATACACATCTTTATATGAACTACAGACACCCAGAGGACAGGTGTTAAAGCCGTCTCGGGAACATCACATTAGAGGAATCCTGGTGCAAGTCATGGTTAGGAAGGAAGCTGGAGTTAAGCAAATGTTTAATGTTTAACATGGTTCCCAGAAAAGTGGCTCTAGTATTAATCATTAACATCTGAAATTTAATAACGGCCGAAAAACCAAAAAAAAAAAATCTATTAGACCAATCTCCTGGCATCCCAAGTGTGTGCAGAAGACCCAGGACCCTGAATCCAGACAGAAGCACTGCCACCAAAATCCCCTCCCTAGGGAGGGGCAAGCAACCAGGGGCTGCACAGTGGTTTTCTTTTAGTTTGCTGCTCTCTCTAATCCAGAGAAAGCTCAAAGGCTGGTCCCATGAATATGGGGGCTTAGACATAGAATGACACTCACCTTTAAGCCTGGAATTCTTATCCACCCAGTCACCAATGATGGCTCCCAGGACCAGAACAGACCCTGCCACCACCAGCCCATAGACTGCGGTCAAGAGGAGGCTGTTTCCATAGAGCTCTACTAGAAACACAGACACGGCAAAGTGCCACATGCGATCCCCCTGGAACAAGGGAAAATGTTTGGTGAACATTTTTAGCTTGTAGTCTGCTGTACGTAGAAATTTATCTTCCTACCTAAAGAGCACTTTCTAGCTACACCAGAAGACTTTCAAAATCAATAATTACTCAATGGGAGAGGTGGGGGAAAAGAAAGAGGGGAATGGAATTAATATGATAAAAAGCTCAAACTTGGAAGCAACCAAATTTCTCATCTACAGGAGACTGGATAAAGAACATGTGGCTTTTTTTATAAAATGGAGTACTACTCAACCATAAAGAATGAGAAACTAGAGACATTTGTAGCTAAATGGATGCACATTGAGGCAATACTCTTAAGTGAAATAAACAGGACACACGTGTAAATACTGAATAGTGTGAGAAATTGAAAGTGTAAATAAAGACTAAAAGGTATAATAGATAATGTGAAATAGGAAGAAAGGGGAAAAGGGCAAGGGGAAGTGGGAGGGATAGGGGAAAAGAAAGAAGGGAATGGAATTAATATGAGAAAAGGAAAAAATGGAAACAAAGTCCTTGTAGATTGGGAGGGGTGGAGGGGTTGAAGGGAGGGCAGGGGATGGGGAAAAAACAAGAACCAAGATGGATTATGTAAAGGTGCAAATTTCCAATGATGAATGTCATTACATTGTATACCTTAAATGTACCAATAAAGTTAATTTATTTTTTAAAAACATAAAATTACTCTATGGATTTAATACTACTCAGATATTTAAAACGTTCATCCTAACACAATGGAAAATATTCTTGCCCGATTATTATGAAAAAATTATCAAAAAGCATGAAACATATTCTTATTATTCTAGAAAAAGATGAACTAAGATGAGGTTTTGGGGCCAAACCATTTCTCTCATGTGCCAAGTTTCTCCCCAGGCACAGTATCTGTGCCTATCTTGATTGGAGAAGCATAAAGTAGTTTGTTATTGGACCAGAACTCGACTATAGTTTATAGACATTGGTATATCTTGAATTCTAGAAAAAGCCAGCTTCTCAATTTGTAAATATGAGTAGACTATATGATTTCTCAACTTTGTTTTACCAAAAACATTCTAAACTATATGCCCTGTTTCACAAATAAAATTCAAAGTCCAGCAGAGCAATCAGAAAGATAAAATTAAAGGACAAATTCTGGCATTGCATGGACAAAGATCTCCAAATAAATTTGAACGTGGAAGTGGTTAATGTTTTGATACAGATGAGTTTTGAAGGGAGAAAAAAAAAACTTTCTTCACACAGGTCCAGAGTATATAGAGAATTTTGGAATTCACTGCTACAAAATGTGGTGTAAGTTTCAGAGAAACTTTAAAACAAGTCATGAAAGTTCATACACAAGAAATTCATAATTGGCTTTATTATGAGATTTTTAAGGTCCACCCTGACTTTTGGGATTAACATGAAGGACAACATTCTATCACAACTTATCCCTCAAGAGCACTGCAGGACACTAAATTCCCAGGCAGAGTTTCTTCCAGATTTGACCGATGTGTAAATACTTATACTCCTAGATCTTCACAAGTCTGTGAATACAGTCAAGATAAATTTCATGTATTGGAAGCAAATTACTATCCTGGTAAGTCAAATTATTTTTAAAAGTTAATAAAGTCAAGATAACAACCTTAAACATTGGAAACTTGAATCGATACATGCTAGCAACCATTTACAATAAACTTCATGTAAACCAGTAGTTCTAAGTGGGGGTGATTTTAACCTCCAGAGGTCATTTGTCAAAGTCTGGAGTTATTCTGGGTTGTCACAACTGCAGGGAATAGAGGAAATACAAGCAGCATCTACAAGCCATAAGATGACTGTCGGATTTCCTGACCCAAAACATCACTAGAACAGGTTGGTAAAGGATTATGAACATAATTTTGAGCCACAATTTAAAATTAACAAGATTAAGACCTTGAGGAATGAGTAGGAATTATCACAATTCCCAAACAGATTTGATATTAAGCAATAAATTCTGTGCTCAAAAAAAAGTGCCACAATGGGGTAGCATCTATGGAAACACTGACAAGTGCCCCCGCATTCCTTCCTTACTTCAAGCCTACTCTATCCTTCTAGGCTTCCCTTTCCTGCCCTCCTGTGTGCTCTCACTTTACTTGATGCCTTGTTAACATGCCTGTCTACCCCCACCGGAGCTACGAATGAACACCCATGGTCATTAATACACTTAATAAATACTTATGGGGCGGGTGCTTTGTACACAACACTACTGTAAACACTTGAGCTGTCACAGGGAAAGAAAATCAGAGCCCATGGTTTCATGCAGTTTGCATTCCAATGTTCACAGACCAAAGACAGATATAGCACAGGTCAGGAAGTGTACGTGCTACAGGGAAAATCAACACAGGATGGGACTGAAATGCGGCATTTTATATGGAGTTGTAACAGGGGTGTCTATGAGCAGAAAGTAAGGCCTAGAAAAATGCAGGCACAGTGGGGTATAACTTGGGACAGCCTGCAGGAGGATAATATAAGATATTAGTAACTGGGTCCTCTTCTTTCCTTGTTGTACAGTCTTTTCATGAGCAGATAATTTTTTAAAAGTCCGTACTAAGTGACATTATGAACTTATTAAAAGGATCCACTTCTTACACTATTTTGTATTCTGATAGCACGAAGTGAAACATATTGATCTACTAGCAGACAGAAATAAAGTTTGAAATCAAAAGCATTCACACCTAACCTGAGATAATCTGTAGAATCTACCTTAAGGCCCTATGTTCAATGAGTAGGAAATCACGGTTTGTTGGGATAGAAAGATATGCTTAAGTTTTGTGGTAATAAAGATCAGTGTGCCACTGACAAGACAAAGCATAAGTGGAATTACCTAGCGTGAGACACCATTCCTTCTTGCACTCTTCTGAGTGAGAGGTAAAAATCCACTGAACCTTATATGGCTGTGATTGCTCTTGGTTTTTTTTTTATTGTAAGAACTTCCTTTCTTCAACTTACTGTACAATTGGAACAAGCATCTGTCACCTTGATTATGGAATTTTTTTAAAGATCCTTTTTAAGATCCTTTTCAAATTAAAAAAAAATCCTTTTAGAACAACCACAGCACTGCTCGTGTTTTTAGCAAATCTACCACCCAGTCAGTCTATCAAACAAGAGTCACACAAACCCCAAATCAAGCAGTACTTGGAAATAAGGCACGCTGTTCCTCTAAGAGCCAGATCCAGACCATAAACTGAGACTTTCAGGCACTATTTCCTATACTTCTAATACTTACTTCTCACAGAATTAAATTGGATGAAGCAAGCACTGGCTTGGATTTATGAAGAGTTGTTTCACTAGACTCATTAGCTTCTGGAAGTGAAACAAACTCAAACCAATTCCACTTTGTTGACCTTTATTTGCAGAGTTATCCTTGCCTAATCCTCAAGATGGGAGCTTGCTTTTCTGAAAAGTTATCTCTCAAGTGCTATTTCTTAGAAGGACAACAATTTGGCTAAATAATTTCCCAAAGGCATAGAGTATAGATTTCCTCATGGAATGATTCCGGAAGTTCATCTTCAAGATGACCCAATAGAAATTTCCAATTTAGAAAGAAATTAACATGGTAGTTTACTCTTAAAAGTTATTTCTCTTTATGTATGGTTCCTATAAAGTTCATATAGGAAGCATGCACAGAATATACTCAGATTTATATCTTTTAGATAATGAGAACAATTGTTTAATTTTTAAAGATTCTAATCATCATTCATCAGACATACACCCAGTACCCCTCCAGGATTATTCTTTTTCAGGGAGAGTTGACAGAAGGAACCTAGGCCAACAGGAACACTGGGATTTTTCCAAAACCATGTTAAGTCAGAAAAATTGTGATTTTCTAATTTTCAACAGATGGTTTTTAAAATAGCTTGCAGTGCCTACATATTACATAACTCCATATAACATTTTTAAAGCCCAGAGTTTTTGTTTCTCAAATATTTGATCTTGGGGCTGTGTATATTTTAATTAATTCTACAATGCCATTACTGGGCTAGGTCATTCACTCCACCATTCCACTATATTTTTATATACTGCATGTGGGAGCTAAATTTTAAGAAAACAGAAGTATCTTAAAATGTGAAATGCCAGGAGGTATTTGAAACACACTCCGTCTCTTGGTACAGATTGCCATTTACTGAGCATAGTCATGCAATATACCATTTATAAATAATGCAAATATCCCTGTCTTTGTTAATCCTATTTTTGGATAGTTATCAATCTATATAAAGTACAGTAACTTGATAATTAATTTACTGACACTCATCCAAATACCTTTAACAGAACTAACTTTTTCCCTAAAGTGTTCCGGATGATTTATTTCTTTATGACAACACTGGAAGTGGGCTTAAGACTGGCTTTAATAAAAGTAAACAAACTGTGCAACTGTTTTGTAAAAATGACCGTGCATTCTCACTTACCCAAGTGGAGAGAGAATGACTAAGGTAGAGAAGGAATTTGGCCGAGGTCAGGTAGTTTGCAAAGGATCCTGCAAAGGCACACAGAGGGGGCGGATTTAAAAGCATATCTGGTCACTTGAACGAGCCGAGATTCAAATACTTACCCACTTACTAAAACACGATTATTTAAAACTGCTTTGTGGGACAAATCACGTACACTTTACCAAGCCGTCTAAGAATCGATGCATACTGCCTCTTTAGTATCACTGATTAAATTCAGCACGGCCTGTTGGTCAATAACTGCACAACTTCACGTGCGGTGAAGAAACCTGTTGCGAAATTCTTCAACTTCTTTTTTTTTTAAATCGAAATCCAAACTGCCCAAGGTGCTGCATCCCCACCTGTGTGCAAGCCCCTTTTCTCATACTCTGAATTTCCTGTTTCTCCCCTCTGCTCTGGCCCCCCGGAGCCCTGGTCCAGAGCTAGGTCTCGTCCCTCCGAACTCGCGCGGCACCACGCACCCCACTCACCGTAGCATCCTCCCCGGCGGCTCTGCTCGCCCGCCCTGCTCATGACACCGGGCGATCTGGTTTTCTCGCTTTCTGCTGCCGGTCGTCGCCGCTTCGGCCCTCGCCGAGGTGCTCGCCAACCCGAGCGCCAGGGACTGGAGATGGCACCGCTGCAAACCCAACAGCCTCGTCCGGACGGACCCCAGCGACGGCTATGGCAAACGGCAAAAGAGAAACTGCCCGGGTCTCCTCGTTGTCTTCCTTCCGAACTTAGCTAACACTGTAGCTGAAGTTGGAAAGGCAAAGCCTTATGGACGCGGGTGGGAGGCTCCGCGGGCCGCCGAGACCCTCAGCCCTCGCTCGC